TAGGGAAAGGTGCCCCAGCTCCTCCTCTCTGAGCTGATAATCCTACAAAAGCAGAGCTTGTCAGTGGCGTGGTGCAAGGATAAAGATGTGGGGAAGAAACACAGAACTACATCTTGCTCTATCTAGTTTACAAGCGATGTTTTCAGGCATCTCCTGTTGACTCCACCTGGGCTGAGAGAACTATTGAGAGCTCAATGCCAGCCTCTTCTTCAAGATAACAAGCTCCTCCAGGCTTGAACCATAACGCTTGCTGTTTGAAGAGATTATGGCTTTTGACAACAGGTCAAACCTTGCTCCCTAACCTCAACAAGGTTTCTAATCCCTACCTTAAGCAGTTATTAGTGTTGCAAAATCCCTTGCACCTGTATTGCACCATAAATGGACAAACTGCTGAACGACTGCCCTTATGCCACTGATTTTGCCCACGCCCTTCTCTAACTGAAGCTGATTACATCCCCTTAATTGCATGGGGTCACTGCTCATTTGCAACCCAGATGTAAAATAGTATATACTCTTTTTATTTGTAAGCAACTGGAGGTGAGAAATGAGGCAGAACTGGCTAGGCAGGGTGCTGGTGGCTTTGCAGGCAAGGAAAGATGACCTGGGGGGCCATCTTTCTTGGCCTCTTGCAGTCCTACTGGCAATCTTACTCTGTCCAAGACACCCTCTGAGTAGCCCTAGGTCAGCCCTTCGCAATGCAAAGCCACACAGGTACAGATAAGGTCAGCACATCCGAGTCTTAGACTGAAAAAAAAACACATTTCAATCCTCTCAGTGTCTTAGAGGTCTAAGGATAAAGATCAAGGAGCCCAGACAGAATAAGACAATCCTCTGCTGGGAGCTGGGCTCCCCAAGATAGCTGCTAACAAACCCAGTAAGTAACAAATAAAACCTCTGCAGAGAGGCACTCCAGCAACAGAAAGAGATCTAATGTGATCAGCACTATTGTGTAACTTCAGGGACTGCGACCTTCAGTGCTACTTGCTTCTCTTAATGACCTGGAGAGCAGCATTAGCCACACAGGGGCTTTGGCAAGCTGCACTAAGCACCCGAAGGCACAGCAGCAGCCCAGTTTCCCTTGCTAATCATTCCCATCCCACAGAAACTCTCCTCAACCCTACATGCACTCCCTAGCTCTTTCCTCTCCGCCTCTGCGAGTGTCTGCAAAGCACAGTATTATCTATCTGGATTTCCCTTGTCCCATTTACTTTCCAGACACCTGCTTTTGAAAACTGCTTTCCCAGCTGGCTGCAGAAACTGCTTCACTCGCTGTCCTTGATGATCACAGTCCTCCTGTTCTCTTCTGAGCAGGCAAAAGCCTCCTCAGAGAGTGTATTCAGACAACACCTGCAACTCAAAGCTCAAACAGCTACTTTTTAGATGATGATCCCTCAATTCTGCATACCCTTTTACCTTCCCAGAACCATTCTCCACCTCCGAATTACATCTATCACAAGCATTAGAACAGTTCATCCACTGCATTCCTCAAGCTGCAGAGCTTTTTAGCATGTATTATAAGAAATGAGCTACCGAGGTAAAGAACAAAGACAGAGAGAGCCCGAGTTATCACTGAAAAAGCACTCAGTGAAAACTAAAGCACGGCTGCTCTGGTTTCCTAGAGCAGGGACATTTTAAAGTGTTTCACACCAGCCTGATTTGACTAACAGCTGGCTGCTGGGAGGATGCAGGAGCTCTGCGGCACTGCATGCAGCAGGGTCCACACCTGCACCTTCTGCCAAAGAAGAAACAAGAGGTTCCCCAGGAGCTGCGACAGGAAGAATTTAACCTCCTCATCTTTCCTTCAGTGGCTGGTTATGCTGCTGGCATAAAGCTGCCTTACTGCAGTCAAACCCCAAGCCTGGAATATCATGCGGTATGAGCATAGGAGTGCGTGTAGGTATTGAGCAGAATGAAAAAATGCCTCTTTTGATCTAAAATGCTTTCAGGTGACCTCGTAGCCAAGTTCAGGACAACCTCTTGTATCTCAGACACTAATATGAGAACGAGATCATCTGAGATCATCTGTGTGCTTCTACATCGCTCTACCTGAGGCCGAGGCTGGGAGATAAGGCCACGGATGATGCCTTAGGTGCCCCTGCCGAGAAGCAGTGTCAGGAACCGGGAGCCTCCCTTGACCATTCCCTGCAGGGCCACACTTCTGGAGAGGCACGGCCACCGTGCTCACACTCACAGCTCCAAGGGCTCCTCTTGGAGCCAACTCCAATCAAAGGTGGCCACCTCGGCCCCCACCTCCCCTCTTACCTCGCTGGCATCCGCGTAGATGGGGATATCGTGGAAAGGCGAGATGTAACGTCCGGCGGCAT